CTGTGCCGGGGTTGAACTCAAGGCTGCCTCCCCCTTACTAATCAAGTGTTTTATCACTTTGAGCCATCCCCCCCAGCACCCCTCAGTTCTTTTGCTTTATTTTTCAGATAAGGTCTTGTGCTAACTTTCCAATCTTGGCCTTGGATCCATCCTCTTACAGCTAGCTGAGATTTCAGGCATGGAAATTGATGCCTGGCTTCTCCTTTTATGCAAGTCTAGTCCAGCAATAGCACGTAAGCACATTTTGTAGATCTTTGTGGATTAAGATAATTTCCTAGGGCAGAAATCACATAGTATAAAGACCATACTCACACATTGCCCAGGCATGCTGGCCGTGGAATAGACAAGTGACCACTCATGCCTAGTGCCCCTGAGCCAACCAGTTTGCTGCCTAGCCCTCACCCCAAGGGGCAACTCAGAGCACAGGAATTTACTGTGTGCATTTGGGTAGGTGTTAATAGGGTACTAAGTGTGGACATAAATATGTATGGCTGTAGGACATATTCAAGTTTTCAGCAGAATTGGAACTAAAATTTACTTTGATCTTCAACCTAATATTCATTTTTAAGCAATTCTTAAAAATTTTTTTTCATTTAAATTTTTGAATTGTTTTTGTAAAGGTGATGTGCAGAGAGATTACAGTTATATAAATCAAGGTAATAAGTACATTCTTTTCTTTTTTTTTTGTCGGTTGTGGGACTTAAATTTTGGACCTGGGCACTGTCTCTCAGCTCTTCAGCTGGAGGCTAGCACTCTACCACTTGAGCCACAGTTCCACTTCCTGTTTTCAAGTGCTTTATTGATGATAAGAGTCTTACGGTGGGGGCGGGGGGAAGGGATAGTAAGACAAAAACAAAGGAGGGGGTAACAATGCTTAATAGGGAATGTACTCATTACCTTACTAATGTAACTGTCACTCTTCTGAACAGCATCTTTACAAGAAAATAATTTAAAAAAAAAAAAGAAAAAAAAAAGAGTCTCAGGAACTTTTCTGCCTGGGCTGGCTTTGCACTGTGATCCTCAGCTCTCAGCCTCCCAAGTTAGCTAGAATTACAGGCGTGAACCACTGGTGCCCAGCAAGTACATTTTTTTTGACAGTCACCCCTGCTCCCCCCTCTCCAAGTTTTCCCCTCCCATTCCTCCTGCAAGTTGTATAGTTCATTTTCAACAGACTGTCTAGTGTGTATCACTGCTGCATTTGTTTACCCTTTGTCCCACCATTTTTGTGCCTCCCCCATCCACCCCAACACAAATAAATGGACAAACAAGATGAAAAGAAAACAAAAACAGCAACACCCCCAAACCTCTTGTCTCTATTTCTTGGAGTTCATTTTGATAAATACTATTTTGTATGGTCAGATGCACATAGGTATCATGTTCCTCTCCTAAGGAATTCCTTTTAAAATACACATCCTAAAATGACTTTGTCCCACTGTTTTCTAATTTCTCTGCTAGAAGATAAGTACTGATAACCAAGTACTATGAATCCTTTGAGACCTTTCTTTGGGGTGGCTTTTTAAAATAAAAAAATGTGATGAAGCCGGGCGCTGGTGGCTCACGCCTGTAATCCTAGCTACTCAGGAGGCTGAGATCTGAGGACCGCGGTTCAAAGCCAGCCCGGGCAGGAGAGACCTTGAGACTCCTATCTCCAATAAACCACCAGAAAACCGGAAGTGGCGCTGTAGCTCAAGTGGTAGAGCACTCACCTTGAGCTGAAGAGCTGAGGGACAGCGCCCAGGCCCAGAGTTCAAGCCCCATGACCGACAAAGAAAAAAAAAAAATGTGATGACATTTACATTGTTCACCAACTTCCTTTTTAATATACAGTTGCATCTGCTTTATTTTACCTACTTTAATGTGCATACTTCAATTTAAAATTTGTATTTAATAGATGAGGGAGATGATGGGGTTTGAAGTCCTTGTTTCCTGCTCAAGAGATGACAGAAGAGAGGAAACCCCACTAGACATCAGCAGAGGGAACTAGGTGGGACCAGGCTAGTCCAGGCTGCTATGGGAGTCATCAGGATACTAGGCAGAGAGCACTGCTATGGGAGAAGTGTCCTCAAAGTCCCCAAGCAGGGGGAGGAGAAATCTCATCAGAAACAGTAGTGCTTGGTGCCCTGGCTGATATGTCATCCATGCCTAGGCCTGCTTGGTCATGGCTAGATATGGCTGGAATGAATCTGAGTGTCTTCAAGGGTAACACCCAAGCAAGCAACATGCTTCACACAGCATGTAGTGAGCATATAATTCGAAATACACAATAAATTTTCTCTTATGTCAATACTTATACATTTTCTTCCTTCAATTGCTGAGGAATAATGTATTGCGCGTGCATATGCATGCTACACATATTTATGAGGTGCACTTTGATCAGGATTGATATAGTGTATACATCAGGGTAACATTTCTATCGCTTCTGAAAGTATCCTTTTGTGCCTATGTAATCCATACAGTAATATAAGCAGAACATACAATACTTCGTTGTTGGGCAATGGACTCTTTTTTATTTTTCTTTGTACTGAGGTTTGAATGCAGGACATTAAGCATGCTAGTCAGGGGCTCTACCACTTGAGCAATGCCCTCTTGCCATTTCTTCTTTATCTTTAAAATTTTATTATTATTATTACTATTATTATTATTATTTTTTTGGTCCGGTTGTGGGGCCTGAACTCTGGGTCTGGGCGCTGTCCCTCAGCTCTTCAGCTCAAGGCTAGTGCCCTACCACTTGAGCCATAGCGCCACTTCCGGCTTTTT